GAAATTAGGACGCTGTTGTTCATTTGGAAAATTAAATCTGTCCCTGCAATTATATTGTTGCTGTTGGCCATAATTATGAAGCCGGTGAAAAGCAATAGCTGACTCACTGCAGTTGCACGCTGGTATGGTTGTAGTTAGTGTGATCATGGCCGGATTAATGCAGGGGCTTATAGGCGCTGAAGCTCCTGGGTACAGGCTCAAGAGGCAAAAAAAATAAACTACCCCCCCCCCCATAAAAAAGGATATATATATATATATATATATATATATATATACACACAGTATAAAATGTTTAGTGTGTGTGTGTGTGTGTATATATACAGTACCAGTCAAAAGTTTGGACACACCTACTCATTCAAGGGTTTCTTTATTTTGACTATTTTCTACATTTTAGAATAATAGTGAAGACATCAAAACTGAAATAACACATGGAATCATGTAGTAACCAAAAAACAAATCAAAATATATTTTAGATTCTTCAAAGTAGCCACCCTTTGTTTTGACAGCTTTGTACACTCTTGGCATTCGCTCAACCAGCTTCACCTGGAATGCTTTTCCAACAGTCTTGGAGTTCCCACATATGCTGAGCACTTGTTGGCTGCATTTCCTTCACTCTGCAGTCCAACTCATCCCAAACCATCTCAATTGGGTTGAGGTCGGGTGATTGTGGAGGCCAGGTCATCTGATGCAGCACTCAATCACTCTCCTTCTTGGTCAAATAGCCCTTACACAGCCTGGAGGTGTGTTTGGTCATTGTCTTGTTGAAAAACGAATGATAGTCCCATTAAGCCCAAACCAGAAGGGATGGCGTATCGCTGCAGAATGCTGTGGTAGCCATGCTGGTTAAGTGTGCCTTGAATTCTAAATAAATCACTGACGGTGTCACCAGCAAAGCACCCCCACACCATCACATCTCCTCCTCCATGCTTCATGGTGGGAACCACACATGCGTCGATAATTCGTTCACCTACTCTGCGTCTCACAAAGACAGAGGTTGGAACCAAAAATCTCAAATTTGGACAGGACAGATTTCCACCATTCTAATATCCATTGCTTGTGTTTCTTGGCCCAAGAAAGTATCTTCTTCTTATTGGTGTCCTTTAGTAGTAGTTTCTTTGCAGCAATTCGACCATGAAGGCCTGATTCACGCAGTCTCCGCTGAACAGTTGATGTTGAGATGTGTCTGTTACTTGAACTCTGAAGCATTTATTTGGGCTTCAATTTCTAAGGCTGATAACTCTAATGAACTTATCCTCTGCAGCAGAGGTAACTCTGGGTCTTCCTTTCCTGTGGCGGTCCTCATGAGAGCCAGTTTCATCATAGCGCTTGATGGTTTTTGCGACTGTACTTGAAGAAACTTTCAAAGTTCTTGAAATTTTCCGGATTGACTGACCTTCATGTCTTTAAAGAAATGATGGACTGTCGTTTCTCTTTGCTTATTTGAGCTGTTCTTGCCATAATATGGACTTGGTCTTTTACCAAATAGGGCTATATTCTGTATACCACCACTGCCTTGTCACAACACAACACATTTAACACCTGTTTATTGAAATGCATTCCAGGTGACTACCTCATGAAGCTGGTTGAGGGAATGCCAAGAGTGTGCAAAGCTGTCATCAAGGCAAAGGGTGGCTACTTTGAAGAATCTAAAATCTAGATATATTTTGATTTGTTTAACACTTTTTTTTAGTTACTACATGATTCCATATGTGTTGTTTCATAGTTTGTCTTCACTATTATTCTACAATGTAGAAAATATTGAAAATAAAGAAAAACCCTGGAATGAGTAGGTGTCCAAACTTTTGACTGGTACTGTGTGTGTGTGTGTGTGTGTGTGTGTGTGTGTGTGTGTGTGTGTGTGTGTGTGTGTGTGTGTGTGTACGTACGTACAGTGGGGAAAAAAAGTATTTAGTCAGCCACCAATTGTGTAAGTTCTCCCACTTAAAAAGATGAGAGAGGCCTGTAATTTTCATCATAGGTACACGTCAACTATGACAGACAAAATGAGAAAAGAAAATCCAGAAAATCACATTGTAGGATTTTTAATGAATTTATTTGCAAATTATGGTGGAAAATAAGTATTTGGTCAATAACAAAAGTTTCTCAATACTTTGTTATATACCCTTTGTTGGCAATGACACAGGTCAAACGTTTTCTGTAAGTCTTCACAAGGTTTTCAAACACTGTTGCTGGTATTTTGGCCCTTTCCTCCATGCAGATCTCCTCTAGAGCAGTGATGTTTTGGTGCTGTCGCTGGGCAACACGGACTTTCAACTCCCTCCAAAGATGTTCTATGGGGTTGAGATCTGGAGACTGGCTAGGCCACTCCAGGACCTTGAAATGCTTCTTACGAAGCCACTCCTTCGTTGCCCGGGCGGGGTGTTTGAGATCATTGTCATGCTGAAAGACCCAGCCATGTTTCATCTTCAATGCCCTTGCTGATGGAAGGAGGTTTTCACTCAAAATCTCACGATACATGGCCCCATTCATTCTTTCCTTTACACGGATCAGTCGTCCTGGTCCCTTTGCAGAAAAACTGCCCCAAAGCATGATGTTTCCACCCCCATGCTTCACAGTAGGTATGGTGTTCTTTGGATGCAACTCAGCATTCTTTGTCCTCCAAACACGACGAGTTGAGTTTTTACCAAAAAGTTATATTTTGGTTCCATCTGACCATATGACATTCTCCCAATCCTCTTCTGGATCATCCAAATGCACTCTAGCAAACTTCAGACGGGCCTGGACATGTACTGGCTTAAGCAGGGGGACACGTCTGGCACTGCAGCATTTGAGTCCCTGGCGGCATAGTGTGTTACTGATGGTAGGCTTTGTTACTTTGGTCCCAGCTCTCTGCAGGTCATTCACAAGGTCCCCCCCGTGTGGTTCTGGGATTTTTGCTCACCGTTCTTGTAATCATTTTGACCCCACGGGGTGAGATCTTGCGTGGAGCCCCAGATCGAGGGAGATTATCAGTGGTCTTGTATGTCTTCCATTTCCTAATAATTGCTCCCACAGTTGATTTCTTCAAACCAAGCTGCTTACCTATTGCAGATTCAGTCTTCCCAGCCTGGTGCAGGTCTACAATTTTGTTTCTGGTGTCCTTTGACAGCTCTTTGGTCTTGGCCATAGTGGAGTTTGGAGTGTGACTGTTTGAGGTTGTGGACAGGTGTCTTTTATACTGATAACAAGTTCAAACAGGTGCCATTAATACAGGTAACGAGTGGAGGACAGAGGAGCCTCTTAAAGAAGAAGTTACAGGTCTGTGAGAGACAGAAATCTTGCTTGTTTGTAGGTGACCAAATACTTATTTTCCACCATAATTTGCAAATAAATTCATTAAAAATCATACAATGTAATTTTCTGGATTTTTTTTCCTCAATTTGTCTGTCATAGTTGACGTGTACCTATGATGAAAATTACAGGCCTCTCTCATCTTTTTAAGTGGGAGAACTTGCACAATTGGTGGCTGACTAAATACTTTTTTCCCCCACTGTATGTTACTTTGTAAGACATGAAGGTCAGTCTGGAAAATTTCAAGAACTTTTAATGTTTCTTCAAGTACAGTCGCAAAAACCATCAAGCGCTATGATGAAACTGGCACTCATGAGGACCGCCACAGGAGGACTATGATTGTAGACGGCCTGTTGCTGCCGCTCTGCTAATCATCATATAGGGTGGAGGAGAGGAGGTAGGGGGCCCCACATGGGTTACTGGGGCGCCCTGCCTTGGGTTGGGTAACTGATTCAGGGCTGGCCCTAGCCTTTTGGGGGGCCCTAAGCGAGATTTGGTTGCCCCCCCCCCCCCTCGCAGGCAAAACATTTTAGTCGCCCCCCTCTTTACGGCAGAGAGCCCGGAGTGTGATTCAAAAGCAATATTATCCCCAGCTGTGCATGAAATCAGTTACATTTTGTAACAGAAAAGTGGGAGTTTCGGATATACAGTAGATGCGAACCGATAACGGCAGACTTGGAATGTGGAGCCATCATGTACATTGTCATTGGTCGTCTGGCGTCTCAAGGGATATGGGACTCCAGATGTCAACTCTGTCACACCACAAGAAGGTTTACATACTGGTAAACCGAAATGTCAACTCAGTAACCCTAGCGAAGGTTTTGCATAATTTGTAACCTTTCGCTTAGTCTACACATAGTGCAACCCAACACAGAACACCCAACGGCATTTATTCAGTTAGCAGCACTCTGCAACATCAAAGACTTCTCCTTTGGGACACATTATGAAGTTGCAATGAGAGGTTATATTTGCAGCCGGCTCAAAGAGAGTGCTGCTTTGGTTAGGAAGAAGAGGTCTGTATGTATGTTTGTGTGGAGGTTGTCGTGGAACAACTGCTTTCTAGGGTGCCAGTCAGCTCAAAGGCGCATGTCTTTTCAGGAAACTGTCCCCCCCACCCCACCCCACCCCACCCCACCCCACCCCACCCCACCCCACCCCATATCCTTTAAATAAATAGGCCTAAGCTCTTTGCCAGGGATTCACGGTGCCAACCGATTGGTTACGGTGCCAAGACTCACATTTGGGAATCCGAGGCCTCTTTCCTGTCTGTGGGGCTTCTCTCTCCTCGCCACCCATGTTCCAGGTGGGTGTAATGTATGGCACAGATTTATTTAGGAGGACCCTGATAACAGGGATGACCGAGAGGCAGCTCTTGCGCTCCAAGGAAGCTACATTTCCTGAATGTTCCGGTGGTTTACGGAATAGAATCTCCTTCACATGGTCGAAGCTGTGGTAAACATCAACCAAATACTCTGAGTTGAACTAAAGATTCACGATGGGTTTATGTTAGTGGTCGTATTATTGCCTTGACTGTTAATGACAGCTGTTTTTTGTAGGCTTTATTTCAGGGGTCCTTAAACATCTGTCCAAATGAAGCTCAAAGGTATTCGTGCTGCTGAATAGACACTCTTCTCCAGTCACCCACCCTTGTTGTTACCAATCTTATTTGATCTCATATCTCCCCCTCCTTTCTTCTCTTAAGGCCAGCCATGGTGAACAGCCGGGTGGAGGCGTCAGCCGTGGCGGTAACAGGTGGCGGCGGCTCGTCAGGCAGGTCCTGCGCGGGCTGCGGCGGGCGCATCGCCGACCGCTTCCTGCTCTTCTCCATGGAGCGCTACTGGCACACGCGCTGCCTCAAGTGCTCCTGCTGCCACTCCCAGCTGGGCGAGATCGGCACCACCTGCTACAGCAAAGGGGGCATGATCCTCTGCAAGAACGACTACATCAGGTGAGCGTCAGGGGAGGCAGCATTCAAATCAGGAAGGACTGCGGGTGGGGGGGTGGATGCAACACGGTAATAGCTTCACCTCTGGTAGGCGTCTTTTTCCACATTGGTCATGCAGTTAAAGGAAAGATATTTGATTGGAATCAACCCTACTAGGGTGACATAGGTGTGGGGAAAGAAGAATTACGTGGGGGAAATTATTTTGCTATGTTATATACAGTAGTCAGCAATTACTTTAGGTTGTAGGTTAACTGTCTCAGATGTTTTAGCTTACGTCAACCATTTTTGACCTTGTCTATGAAAATGGAAATTAAAAAGTGTTGTAAGAACATTTTAGTGAGTTTCCCCTTCAATAAAGTTAATAGTGAAAGTGCCACAGAAATCCACATTCAACAACTGATCATGCCTGATGAGTATTTTTAATGTTTGGCCAAACAAGCACAGATAGCTCAATGCATTTGGGTTTATGATAGTGGTCGTATTATTGCGTTTACAGTTAATGACAGCTGTTTTGTAGGCTTTATTTCAGGGACTATATTATGGAGGAATTTGTCAAGTTAATTTCTCTCTTTTTTTTTTGTCTGTGCACACATAAAGGCACCAGGTGTTCGTGTGTGAATGCAGACAGATAGGGCAGGATAAGAGTGACAGGAGGGTGTTACGAGAAAAGGTATAGGCACACACCAGGTTTGTGTCTGAGGGAGCAATGGATTTTTAACAGCAACTCTCTAACCTCTCAAGACCAACTGTCTTTCACTACTTTTTAGACATTTGATTACAAAACCTAAGGAGTTTGTAATTAACCTAAATTTGCAGTTAGGATAGCCTGAATTGGTCCTATAGCTTAATTGGCCAAGGATTCAGACAATTTTAAATAGCTACCATTGTGTTACTGTGGTTCTAATTGAAACCCATGTTAAGTTAGGCACATTTTTAAATGGTCATAATTCAAATATTATAAAAATGATCAAAAATATGAATGCAAGCAATCTAAGTTGGGTCAGTCTGAACATCTCAACGTTAGTTTGGCGTTGATAGCTTAAATGGTGTAGGAGGAGATACACGCCCAAATTTCCAAATGTTCCCCATGTAAGTCTATGGCACTTGTATTGCCATTGAAATGCATTGGGAGCTCATTTTAAGTGTTGTAAAACACAAAGTACAAATAATATCGAAACTATTTTCTCAAGCAGTTGGGGAAGTCTGCACATTTGGAAGTTGGTTTGGTGTTAATAGCTTAAGTCGTTTAAGCGCTAGCGTGAGCCGAATAAATACAATGATGAGTATGTCATAAATCTACAGTTGTGCATTGCTTTGCAAGCACACCTAATTAGTTAATTTGCCCAAGTTTATCATAAGACATAAACAGAACGCATCAGTGATTCGTATTCCCTGCAACCCTCTGAAGAGGCAACGGCATGGAAATGCCCCTGTCTGGGTGCCTGTGGCACGTGTGTCTACCACCTTGTGTAGCCGTTAGCGATGCTAATGATAGGCTAACCGTCTTTGGGTAGATGGGAAGGCTTTCACAAATACCTTCTCAATTAGAAGTTAACTACAATGTAGCCTATGCCTACCTGGCAGAGTCATGATTATTTGCATCAATCCAGTGGCCATTTGTTTTGCAAACTCCATCACGTGAGCTACAGAACCACCACTAACCAAACAACAGTGCTTAGTGCTTGCACACTTGAATTAAGGGGAAACTACACTCAAATCAACATTTTGTAGCTTTTCCCAGACCTCAAAAGTGGTCCCCTGATGTGGTTTAAGCATTGCTGTGGACTTAGAACATCTAATTGTTCTTTTTTTTTCATACAAACATTTTATTTTGATTATGAAAATGGGGAAAAATCTGTTCTTCAACTAATTTTTTTTGCTGTGGTAGTGTTTTGGTATCGAGTATCATGATACTAAACCTGGTGTTGGTATCGAAGTCCAAATTCTGGTATCGTGACAACAGTAGTGTGTGTGTGTGAGTGCGTGCGCACACACGTGTCTGAGAGGCTGGTCGGATCTAACACAGACGAAGGATTGTGTGGGTGCCTGCGTTGGCACTGCCCAGGCACTAGCGCTCTCCAGGGCAAACATTGGGGCAGATCCGGAGCAGTCTGGAAACTCACGGCCCAAGAGCGCCCGCATGGATGGAGGCCTGCTGGATAGCGCAGAGACACTGGGCACTTTGTACATCAGTCCAGTAATAATTCAGAGGATTTAAAGCCACTCCCAGTGGAATAAATAAAGCAGTTATACTTCACTACTATACTGAACAAAAATATAAATGGAACATGTAAAGCGTTGGTCCCATGTTTCATGAGCTGAAATAAAAGATCCCAGACATTTTCCATATGCACAAAAATCTTATTTCTCTCCAATTTTGTGCACAAATTTGTTGACATTCCTGTTAGTGAGCATGTCTCCTTTGCCAAGATAATCCATCCACCTGCCAGGTGTGGCATATCAAGAAGCTGATTAAATAGCATGATCATTACACAGGTGCACCTTGTGCAGTTTTGTCACACAACACAATGCCACAGATGTCTCAAGTTTTGAGGGAGCGTGCAACTGGCATGCTGACTGCAGGAATGTCCACCAGAGCTGTTGCCTGAGAATGTAATGTTCATTTCTCTACCATAAGCCACCTCCAACGTCGTTTTAGAGAATTTGGCAGTACGTCCAACTGGCTTCACAACCACAGAACACATGTAACCATGCCAGCCCAGGACCTCCACATCCGGCTTCTTTACCTGCGGGATCGTCTGAGACCAGCCCCCCGGACAGCTGATGAAACTGAGGAGTATTTCTGTCTGTAATAAAGCCCTTCTGATTGGCTGGGCCTGCGCCCCTGCCCATTCATGTGAAATCCATAGATTAGGGCCTAATTAATTTATTTCAATTAACTGATTTCCTTATATGAACTGTAACTCAGTTAAATTATTGAAATTGTTGCATGTTGTGTTTCCATTTTTGTTCAGTGTTTGTGATCTACAGAAAGATGTATGGTTGTGAAATGTAATGTGCCAATAACTCCTCATTGCAACTATTGCAACCACCACTGAATGAGTGGTAATTGCATGTGTTTTTTGCCGCAAAATGTCCTATGTTATTTAGCCATATGGATCATGTCATATGGTTTGACACCATTAATATAAAAAGTATATGGTTTTTCTGCACTGCTGCTTAACAATCGTCAAACGTAGTGCACGCTTGTGGACAGGACCTTGTGTCCATGCACGCGCAAGGTCCATCCTCAGACATTTGTAGCGCATACCAGTATGCAATTCGCAGCATATCAAATATGTATAATACAGTTGGTGGGTCCTCATTGCCAAGTGACCCAGTGCCAATGAGGTCCGATAAAGGCAGAGAGGGAGCTTTAATTAGGGAGAACGGGGTTCCTCTCGAGCGCTTGCTTATTAAATGATTGTTTGGATTAAGATCAATAGGGAAAGGGAGAGAGTAGAGAGGGGGAGGTATAGGAGCCAAAACCGATATGGTAGGTGTCACAAGCAAGAGGGTGCAATAGAGAAGGTGTAATGAGAGCAGAAGAGAGGCTTCCTATTAAGACTGAATGGTTTAACTGTTAACACGCTAGGGCCTCTGAGAGATGGGCCAATGGGCTCTGGGTAGTCTACTAAATGTGGTGTGAAGGTTTCCTGTAAGTCACATGTACTTACTTGGTCACGCTCTAAGAAGGAGGCGACGTGTTTGACAGGAGCAAGGCAATGTATAGTTCACCAAAAATAAGTCCTATAGCGGATCACATTATTTTCTTACGTTTCACACCAAACAGACATTATCACTGGCACCTACAAAAGATATTCAGTGACCCGTGAAGAAAAATCCTTAAATCAGGGTGCTTCACCAGTGTCAGCTGAAACATATTTCAGGGCTCTGCTAGTAGCCTGCCATGGACTTCATCTGCAGCTCAAACCCCACCTGGAATCTGTAGCCGTCAGCTGAGCACACAAGGCCTGAGTCACGTCGCAGCACCACCACCAGCACTATTCCATGCTGCATCCGTCCCATTCAGTCCTGCTAGACTCTGGACTCCTACTTCATTCATGACTTCAACCACTGGTCTGGGAACTATTTAGCATTAATTGCTTGAGTTGGTTCTAGTTACATTTACATTTTAGTCATTTAGCAGATGCTGTTATCCAGAGCGACTTACAGTTAGTGAGGGCATACATTTTCATACTGGCCCCCCGTGGGAAGTTAGGATCGGGAAAGGGTAAGCCAAGTTAGAATCAGCCGTTGAAGGCCGAGAGTGGTGCTGAACCACAACATCATTGTCATTGGGAATATGAGGTGACTTGGTCAATCTGTTGAAGGGTAAGTGGTTGCAGTTGTCTGACATGGTTTGTTTGGGTTCACCCGCAGGCTGTTCGGGCACAGCGGGGCATGCAGCGCCTGTGGCCAGTCCATCCCTGCCAGTGAGATGGTGATGCGTGCACAGGGCAACGTGTACCACCTCAAGGTAAGACTAACGTCAGCCTAAAAGTAAAGACCGATGCCAACAGAATCTGCGAAAGCCAAATATTTTAAGGGCCCTTAGACACAGCGATTTGACCCATGCTTCTGTTGCTCTTTCTTAAACTGTTTCTTAAAAAACTTCTCCCTCCATTTTTCCTTCGTTCCCTCCCTCTGCAGTGTTTCACCTGTGCCACCTGTAGGAACCGGCTGGTGCCGGGTGACCGCTTCCACTACGTTAACGGCACCATCTTCTGTGAGCACGACAGGCCAGGGGGCGCTCTACTCCGGAGTCACTTGACCCCACTGCAGGGGAACGGCATGATGCCTGACCAGAAGGTATGGGGATGTGCTCCGGACCGTATTTTGATAGAACTTAACAGTTTGTGATTGATTGTCCCTTACGTGTTAAGAATCCATGTGGTTTAATGAATGAATGTGCTGTTTTGGTAATAGTTTTTGAAGGTGGTGTTGGACTGTGGTTGTCTTACTGTCTGTTCTTGCGGTCTTTGCGTAATCAATGTGTATCAATAATCACCTCTTTCTCCTGATCTCAGGTGTGCTGAAGAAGGATGGATGACAAAGCAACGTGTGCCTTTCCCCCACCTCCTGCTCTTCCTCCATCTTTAAGTTCGTCCTACACCATCCATCCCTTCGTTCAGATATTCCAATATCCATACTCCGGATACTGCTGCCAGTGTCCAGTGGCTTTCTTAACAACACTGCATTCCCAACAAAATCATATTTGCTGAGGAGGGAAAGACTATTGATGAGGATGATATATGGTGTCGAACCAGTGTCCATTTTTGGTAAGGCCAATGGTGACAGACTTGTAATGCCCCGAGAGGAGGACTATGGTATTTCCAGTGATGGACCATTCATGATGTAGCACCTTTCCTTAGCCAGCACATAACACTACAGGGAGTGAGAGAGAGAAGACACGGACTAATATGGAAACACATATAAACTGGTTCTGGTCAGGGGCTGCTTCAATCAAGCTACAGTATACTGACTCTCGAAACAGGAAGAGCACATTCAAACAAGACAGGCCACACGAATACACAGACGCACACTTTCTGAGCTCAGACTCTCTAGACCCTTTCATGTGTTGCGAGAAACAGGAAATAATGTGGTTGTAATGCTGCCGTAGCTTTGCCCACTGGACGTTCCTGAACTCTCATTGGTTCACTCAACTGGTGAGTTGGGCCAAACAAGTAAGATCAAATACACCTGCCTGGATGTCTCATTTACATTAAAACATATACTACATTTAAGAATGTCTGTAGAATATTCATCAAAACATACCTTTTAGTCCCATGATTATTTTATACTGCAAGTGGTTGCCTTTTTGTAGATTGTCTTTGATGTTTAGTTATGTTTTCAGGTGAAGATGGTTCCTGGGCTTAGGAAATGTACTCCTGTTTATGGGAACATACAAATATGCATTTGTAATTGTCGTTTAAAACATTTTTTATTCCAGTGAGAATTGTAATTCCAACATGACTTCGCAGCAGTGCTCCATACGTCCTAAATGTATTCTCGTTGTGTGGTGGTAGAAGAGAAGGTCCAAGTTGAACTGGTCCACATATAACCTGGGTAATGTTGAGTAGGGCACACCGTAGCAGAGCATTATTATTTTCTATTGTTGTTTTTTTAAACGAAAATAAGTGTTTCTTATTGGAGAATTCCAGGTAGCCCCTACCTGGTTCACGCTGTTTTCTTCCATTTGGTACCTAATGAACACGACCCAGGTTCAGAGAATAAGGGCATGGGGATTGGGAGAAGTAATAAGTGTATATATATTTTCTAGTGCTATAATTGTATTGTGTGCTCTATGGTTGAATTTTGTCATTGTTTGGCCTTTGTTTCAAGCAGAGGCCCATTTTCAAATGCTGTAAAACATTTCTAAATAACTATAATCATAATATCGCCAGTCACCTGTGTCACGTCTAATGAGTGTGATTCGATAATGTTTACCTGCCGTGTGATGAGGGAGAGTGGCGTGCATGTGTGTAGCGAGGTGTGACAAATATCCCTTTCACACCGAAAGGTAGCTTCGGTAAAGCTCCTGGCTTAGACAAACATGGCCGATTACCCTCAGGAATGGAATTTCAAAGGCTTGAGCCGGGTCCATTACAGAAGATATTCAAGTGGTATGCGCTAAAGGCCCGGGCTTTCGCTGCAGTCCTGTGCTGGAGTCTAATGAGGCCTAATCTGGTGTGCTGGCCTAATTAAAAAGGAAGGGACCCCTTTCCAACAGTCCAGCTGTTGACTTTACATCACTGCAAAAATGCAACAACAACACGGAATAAATAAACCAACCTTTACCTTCCGTTCTACTAAACTAATTTGATAACTTTTCTGTTTCTTTACTATGTCTGAGTGACATGTTCACTTATTTGCTGAGTTCTGAACTTGGTAGTTGGAGTAGAGGGTGCTATACTCATAGTATTGAATGGCACTTTGCATATTTTTTTAGGTACCTTTGGCCTAGAAATCACAAGGTGTTCTCTGTCAGTCGGCTTTTATAATCCTCTTTAACATTTACATTTTAGTCATTTAACAGACGCTCTTATCCAGAGCGACTTACAGTTAGTGAGTGCATACATTTTCATACTGGCCCCCCGTGGGAAACGAACCCACAACCCTGGCGTTGCAAGCGCCATGCTCTACCAACTGAGCTATAGATCTGCCATGAATAGATTTTGGTAGACCTATTTAGCTTGTTCTGACTGAGGCATTGGGATCCCTGTCTACCAGTATATCAAAACTTTTAAACTCTGAACCACACAACATGCCTATTCTCACCTGTGTCTGGGAAGCCTCCGATTGTCCAGTTACAATTAAGGGCAAGGTGCAGTGCTGTGCTGGATCACTCTTGTATCCTGTGGGTTGGCTGTCAATGCTGGAGATGGTCCAGCTGCTTTTACTTATCGTTCCGTGACTTTTCTACAGAGAGAAATTAAAACCAAACATGCAATAGGCCTACAAAGAAGATGAAAAAAATCACTGAATTATCCAGCTGTGACTTTTCAAAATAATGTGCCCAGAGAGAACACTTACCATAAGTGTTGTGGTGTGTCTCTGTGCCTCAGCAGTTACTCTTTTAAGGTTAGCCAATTAGGTTCACACTCAAAATAACGAATCAGCTTTTTAATGGCAGGATTTCAAACCATTTATATCGTAATGATGCAGAATTATTTTAAATTATGACCTATAATCCAAACCTGAGCATGAGTTTCAAATCTTCAAAAATCACATTTTGCCATTCCCCAGTTTTTCTAATTGGACTCCCATACTTCCATAGACACAAGTGGGGTTCAATCAGAATATCCAGAATAAACCTGATCTGAAAGAACTACGTAGGGGAAAGCAATATCTCTACAACCACACCTACTGAAGCAAACATTGGACATATTTTCTAACTCCTGTTATCGCATTGCAGTTACCTATCCAGTCCTTAACATCAGTGTGGATTTTTAAAGAAACGTAGGAGAATTGCATACTGTTAACAGCCACACAAACAGTTCTAACCAATGTGACATGCAATGTTCAATTTGTACACCTAATTACCATTTGATTCAATAACTTTACTAATACTTGGCCAGTCATCTCAAAGTAAATTAAAAACTCCTTGACTGTTCAGTCAAGGTTATAAAGACAGACACTGAACATTATCAAGAAACAGAAACTTGATTATCGGTAACTCATTCACAGGGAATACCATACATAAACATTGTTTGCTGATTTGCATGTCTTTGACTCAAAATATCTGCCACAGATAATGAATAGCAATCTTCAGTGAAGACTGGTTTTATTTCTAGCTCAACAGTCCACACCCTTCGGGTGGCAGCTTGACATCCCCAGCCCATGTGCTGAAGTGCTGATATGGTATCAATTATTTATCCCACATCTGTGATTTTGAAAATGTATCAGACAAATTCGTTAACATATGCAAATTACCCTAATTGCAATTATCTCCATATCTTGATAAGTAAAAGGGGGGAGGGAATCTTCCAACCCCTTCTGGTGATGCAAGTTACACTTTGCATTCAAACCAATCAAGCCTCATCTGCATACCACAAATTAGCGCCACATATTCAAAAACCAATTAGCGTGTCTCTCAAATAGCTTCCCCGCCACACGGCTTTGCTTTTTAAGCCGAGCTGGCACAAGAAAAGTTTTCAGGTGCACAGTTTCTAGATGTGCCTTTCCCTCCTCGAAGTGGATCAAATTAACACATGCAAATTGGTGTAATTGCATTGTTTCGTCACATGTTGTGTGAAGAAAGAAAAAAATGAGGCAAGCAACGGAACAGCCAAGACATTTTTACCTGATGCTGGAGAGAGAAAGACAGACACGTGCCGTAGACCTGCCCCTCACAGCAGGGGCTGGGTGAGAGAGTAGATGCCACCAGCAGCGTATGAGGCCTGCAGGCTCACTATCAGTCACATAGCACAGAGTACTGTCGCTGGTTGTCAATTGTCTTCCTTGAGTCCTCACGTCGACTCTCCTCATCACTTTCTTAAACTACATTGGAAAATAAGGTCCCATGGGTGGCTTCTCTAATGTATTTTGAGGAGGCGGCGAGACCCAATACCTGAGAAAGCTGACCCTTCCAAAGTGCTTGACATCCATTCCGATCAAATCCTATCTGCAGATTGTAACACAATCCCTCCCCATACAGTGGGGAGAACAAGTATTTGATACACTGCCGATTTTGCAGGTTTTCCTACTTACAAAGCATGTAGAGGTCTGTAATTTTTATCATAGGTACACTTCAACTGTGAGAGACGGAATCTAAAACAAAAATCCAGAAAATCACATTGTATGAGTTTTAAGTAATTAATTTGCATTTTATTACATACGGCATCCTTTGAATTTATCAGGGAATCAGTCGGATGTAATTCACATTTCTAAGACCAGTATAAGTCTTCCACCAAATGCCCCGGCCTTCACAAGGCACACTGGGAAATGAAGCCATATGTCAACATCCTCTTTAATTAGGAATAGTGTCATTGGAACTATCAAAAGCTATTCAGAGGTAGACCACAGTCACTTATTTATCAAGCAATAACCAAATATCCGCTCCTGGCATCTTTAGTCTACATGAATGAGCTCATGCAATTTCCTTGACAGTGTCTATGCCTTTCCTATCTGAACACGCAGTCAAGGCTATGTATTGTCTTTAGCTAAACAATACCATGGGGTAAAAACAATGTATTTGACATTCTGTCATCCTGTTTCCAGTAGACACAATAACCATAGACACAATACTAGCTAACTCAGAGCTAGCTAGCAACGTTAACTTCCCTGACTAGATGTAGCAGTAGTTTTCAAGCCATAATTTCTCCCATTCTGCAAATAAAATTGAGTTGAGGAGTAACTATAGCTGCAATTACAGTGCCTAGTGAATGTCTACACACCCCTTGCACAGTTAACATTTTGCAGCCTTAAAATCTAAAAAGGGATTACATTGCATTTTTTCCCTACTTATCTACACAACCTGTGACATTTTCAGTGAAATAAACTTGGTGGAAGCATCCTTGGCAGCAATTACATCTGT